TCTCACACCTCACATACGATACGTTTGTACAAATATGGGAAAGTGTATAATACGCACACACTTCCAAAAAGTTAACCAAATCCACATTAGCAACTGGCTTAGTATTTACAGTCCACATATAGACAAATGTGTATATGTGCACGTTTGTTAAATGTACCATCAGAAGTATACCTAGCAAGCAAACATACATACATATACAAATCGAAATGCATACCTGCGTACTAAGCTACCGTTACACAGGTCTGTATGCACATATTGAGGAACATTGCATATATACTTGAACTCATACTCATAGCTAATACAGATATGTACACATACAACAATGCACATATCCGCAGTACGGAACTTTGTGAATTTAAAACGAGCAATGGTACGTTTATAATCAAAACTTAAACAACGGATAAGTCAACGTGTCTGTACCTGATGTCGACTCTAGTATCGGAAATAGGTCGCTCTCTGTGAGTAGCACTATATCGTCCCCATCGCCTGTTGTGCCCTTACTCTTTTTGGGAGCGCGTTTAGATTTAGCTTTCGGTGTCCGTGAAGCGTTTGCTTTGACTTTTAGACCGGCCTTCTTGGATTTAGAATTCGCCTTTTTTGGCTTTGAAAGCGACTTTTTGCTTTTCGTGGGTTGTTGCTGTGTATCATTTTTGGACTTTTGGGCTTTGACTGTGGTGGTAACTTGAGCTGTGGTTGTGGTTGCGGCTGGTTTGGCAAGTACTTCAGAATCTACCTCATCACGCTGTTGTGCAACCTCGTCCCCAAACGTTTGAACCATAAGTTTTTTGTCTGTCAGAACCCGAATGATTGAACCCCAAGAAAAACTCAAATGTCAGCAATTGTATGATGCGACGCTACAGATGCTTCCACAGCTAGCCAAATAAAAGATTCGCGTGTCCAGCTTGGACGAATGTCATGTGTGCGCGCTGAAGCGATCGCAATATGCATAGATATGTGGGTAGTTGGCTGTGCACTCTTTAAATCCACAGAAGCACAACATGTGAGATCTTCAAACACTTGCGCCATTGCTATATCTACAACTCTACCTATGATTGAACATAGCGCATTGTAGCTAGACCAACCACACCTACGATTGAACATAACACACTGTAGCTAGACCAACCACACCTACGATTGAACATAACACACTGTAACTGGACCAACCACACC